ATTGTTTATAAAATAGCCTGTGCCTCACAGAGTATGTTTGTCCACTGAGGTGGACAGCCGTCCCCAAAGTGTTAAAAATCTGTTAAATTAAAATAATACATGAAATTAAAATAGCAATAGAAAGTGCTACAGAGCTTACTCATTTCTGTGTGGATTGTAGATTTCAACAATACCGCATACAGAGCCTTTGCGCGGACCCATTTCTATCATGCCACCAACGCACCACACATAATCCCTAAACTTCGTGCAAGCCATACCCATTCTCGGCATACTCAACGATGCTACTTCAGTCCAAATATCGAGCATCGGATCATACTGCTCCACGGACGATAGCAATCTGCAAAGAACGTTTTAGTTGAATTGAGAAAACAAACATGAAGTCGGCAAAAATCTTGACTGAATGAATGTGTTTTTATTGGAAAATAAGTGCTTTTTAAAAAACGCCATCGGAGAAAATATAAAAGCACTGAGAGGAGGAGGACGAAATAGAAAACATCGATATAAAACAATTTAGGCGAGAAAACAATCGAAAACTTGAGAACTAAAAAATGGCATAATTAATAACAATATTATAGAAACTAGTGGTGCATGGCATCGTGCCTTAAGGCCAAATTGCTGAAACTTTTCGTACCATAGTTTTTTTTTTTTTAACTTTGGAAAAAATAGATTTTTGAGAATTTTTGAAAAAAATTGACTTTTTGAGAATTTTTGAAAATTTTTTTTTATGATCTTCAGATTTTAAATTATATTGACCTTATTAAATTGAAATAAAACTTTATATCGATAGCAGGATTATATCGTTGAGGTTTAAAACACTGTATATCTTATTATTCAATATTAACTTCCCGAAGGGTAGTTATAGTAATGGGCCGAACATCGAAAATGAAAATTTTGCATTTCTAGATGTTTTGAAGATTTCTGAACACTTTGGCATACCTCAGAAAAAATGGATGTGTGTGGGTGTGTTTTGTATGTCCGCATTTTTTCGTCCACGTTTTCGGGCGCACGGGTCAACCGATTTGAATGGTTTAAAAAACATTCGATTCCTATTAATAGGGAGATGTGCTGATTAGTTTTTGGCAAAGGCTGGTCCAGCCGTTACGGAGATATGGAGCAAAGAGTGCAGAAAATAGAAATCGAGTTTTTGAGAGAACGGATCATCCGATTTGTATGATCCAAGAAATATTCAGTTCGTAATTAGTTTTTGGCAAAGGTAGGCCCAGCGGTTTTCGAGATACGGAGCTAAATGTTAAAAAAATGGCAGTTTTTGAGAGAACTAAGCGTCCGATTTAAATGATTCAAAGAACTTTCTGCTTGTTTCAACAAAATAATTGCTTTTGGAAAAAACATTTGTTTCTAATTTTTTTTACATTTTTTTTTTGTAAATTTGGATTAAAAATTCAAAAAATCACTCAAGCTAAGCACAGTCTAAGCGCCACTTTTGTGCAAATATTTACCCAAGTGCGTTTAGACTGTTTATGTACTGGAGCACTTTTCCAATTTTGTGAAAACTATTGAAAAATGTGAAAATGCCGCCAAGCTAAGATTTTAATAATGTGTACACATTTTGTGTCAATTTTTTGTCTTCGACATTTTCGACAGTATGGAATAACCGATTTGTATGATTAAAAAATCATTAGGCAAATTCGCCGTTTCGAAGGTATGGAGCGCAAAGGATGTAAAAACGGTTATGCAGTTTTTGAGAGAACGGATCATCCGATTAAATTAATTAAAAAAACTTTTAGCTTGAGTAGTAATGTGCAAAGAATGTTTTTACAAAAAATTTCGTAATTTTGAAAATTTTCAAATGAAAAATATCAAATTATCGAAATTTTTCATCATTTTCAAAAAAAAAAACTAATTTTGAAAAACTTTAAAAAATATAAAAAATAAAAAAAAAACAGATTTCTTACAAAAGTTTGAGAATACATATTTCGAAATTAAAAAAAAATCGAAAATTTTCAAAAATTTCCAAGTTCTCAAAAAGTTAAAAAAACACTTTTCCAAAAAATTTCAAGCTTCTAATAAAAAATTAAAAATTTTGAAAAAAATTCTTAATCATCAAAAATAATCAAATTTAAAAATGAATAACTTTCTTATAAACATACACAAAGATTGTTTGTATCATACGCTCATCGCCTAATTTAAAAAGCACTTATAAGTTTAAAGTATGTATTTGTAATAAATAATGTATTTCAAATTATTCAAAACAATTATTGATTATTGATTATTTTTATTTTTTAAATGTTTAATTACGGTACGGAAAGTTCCAGCAATTTGCCTTAAGGCAGGATGCCATGCGCCACTCTAATTTATTTACACATATTTTAATAAAAAATAGCTAAAACCTTCCGTTTCCATCCATTCCACCTACAGCATAGATTTTCATATGTGTGGCAACTAGTCCAAATTTTTTCGTGGTTCTAGCATGGATTTTTCTGTAAACCATGCTCTAGTAACTGGATCAAAACTCCAAACTGCATTAGTTACTGCTGATATATCATCATTATCATTCGCTGGATTGGATCCACCTATAAATCAATTTGGAAGTGGATAAGTGTAATTGCATTTAGCCGATTATCATAATGATTGCTACGTAAACATACCAGCTAAGTACACTCGACCTCTAAAAAATACAGCGTTATGATGATGTCTCGGCTGTGGCATTTCTCCTACAAACAACCAGGTGTTTCTTTCCGACGAATATTGATATACGTCCTTTCCCGTATTGCGTTGCTTACCATATTGCATTTGAGGATCAACTCCACCAAACACTAAAATGGTCTCTCGATCAAATGTGAAAAGTGATCCTTCTGCCATATAGTTTTTGCTGAATGATGATAAATAGGGGTAGCTTACGGGTTTCCTTAAACACGTTTAAATAAGAAATATTCATTTTCTGTTTTTAGATAATTATTTGTTTGTATCTGTACTTTTGAGGTTCATCCAGTCCTTTAAAGATACTTTTTAAAAGGTGGACATGTGTTTTGTATTCTGAACACCTCAATTCAATTGTATTAAGGTTATTGACGCAAACTCCATTGGTTGGTCATTGGCCCATTGATTGCCATTATTTGGCATATTTACAACAAATGATCGAATTTCTTATAAAGATTTTAACAATATGCAATATAAAGAAAATTAAATCTTTTTATAGCCTTTTGTTTATTTTTTGTTTTGAAATTTATTCGATTTAAAAAGTGATGTCTTGCGACTTTCTCTTAAGACTGATTTAAAAAGTAAAACATAAACTTCTCCTTCGGACTGACCTAGAAATCGGAGGATATTTTTCAGTAGAGTCGGAAAACATAGACAAAACTTGAAACTCTGACTGCTTTCTATTAGGTGCTCTGGAAAAAACCTTTGATGTTTTCGTC